TCCTAGCCCACAGAAGGCTGAGGCAAGAGAATTATCATGACTTCAAGTCTAGCCCAGACTCACAGTTTCAGCCTATAAGACTCTTTTTAAAAAATTAATTGCATGGTATGTCCAATTTCACAATTTCTAAGAAGAAGGAAAGTCTTCTAGATTGACCATTGTTCCTGATCTTGTGTCCCCTCCAAGGCTCTGCTTTGATGGAATTAGAGTTCCGAAGTCTGTATCTAAATCTATCTGAGTTCAATTTCTCTCCAGGACTTTAGAGGCTAAAGTGGGCTTATGAAGTAAGTGTGCTATGCCTCTGCCCAGCTAAAGAATTTGCTCCAATAGCTCAAGTCAAATGAATTTTCTGAGAAGAGCACCTGATGTTGGGGTCAACCTTTGAGAACTGGGGGAGATAAACTCAAGGGTTCTAGTGTACAAGCAATATAATTTAATAGCTGCTAGGCTGCCAGCACACGGAAGGCTGCCAGATCATGGCTTAAGAGGAGTTGGTGAGTCCATGTTCACTTACTCACAACCAGAGTTTTAGAGCTACCCTACATAAGGTCCATGGTTTCTCCACAGCTACCCTAACTAAAGGCAAGCTGGCACTTAATATTTCTATAATGACTCTCAAATTGATAATAGATCTATGCTGCTTCAGCCTGCCTTTGACAGGTATTGAGTCTCTGAAATGAACTAGGAATCTTCCCCAAACCATACACAGATGACCAAGTCTCAGTCCAGGGGATTCCCCACCAATCTCATTCCCAATCATATTACCAGTATGGATAAGGTGTCCCCCATTGCCTGGGAGTCCACCACTGCATCAGGAGAGCAAGCCAATGAGATGGTGGTCATGAGAAAATGGACTAGGGGAAAGGGAAAGGGAGAGATCTGATACCACCCATCAGCCAAACGCTGATCAGCCTAATAGGAAGCCTCAGGAGGGCTCTGTGGCATAAAGATAGGGCCAGTCTGCTTGGCTGGTCTATGAGTGATGTCCCAAGGGGAGATGTGGAAAACTCGAGACAGAATCTGTCCCAGCCCAGTGCAGCATAGAAACATTTAAGCACAATGATGGAATTTGACAACTTACCAGCCTATGGTTTGTGTGAACTCCACAGGCTTGCAAGATGTCTAAGAATTACTGCCTAAGGGTGTCTCCCACTAGTCCCCTTACTGTGCAGATGGAGTGCCTCCTGTTATTTGTAAGCATTGCCCAGGAACGTGTTACAGCCCTTTCCCTCACCTTCTGATGCCTTCTATGTTCTCCTGCCTCTTTGAAGTACTGAAGCAAAGGGGCATTTTTTTGGTTCTTTGGCCATGCAACCTGGCTGCACCTCAGTCACATGTTCCCAGTAGCAAAAGGTGGAATAGTCAAAGGGCTCCACACAGTTCACATCATTCAACTGAGTCCTGTGCTGAAGCACTGTGGAGAGTAGAGGGTCCCACAGCAGCTGGAGGCCTTTTCAGAATCGTACACGGACTCATCTCCCTGCTGCACTGGCCTGGACTGTTTATGACGACCAGCCACTGCTACTCTGAGACCTTATGCCTAATCATCCTGCCCTCATCCCCCAAGGCAGAAATGTCCTGTCCTCTAAGTTGGAAGTAGGCGCCTATGTTTAGGTCAAGATTCTTACTCTAGACCATTTAGCAACAGATATTGGGGTCCTTTCTTGTAAGCCAATTAGCACCCATAGGCTCTTACCTGTCCTAACTACCCACGATTCTCTAGAGCCACTTGTCTTGCAAATATGAGAAAGCTGAAAATCTTTGTCCTACAGAAACTTCAGCATCAGTTTATGGGGATATTTTGCTCAAAACCAGCACGCAATTGATACATGCTTAAGCATAGAAATGAATAGTATATGCATGGATATTTATTTGTGCATCTGTACTTATCCAGGTTTTGCTCTAAGTTCTCCCTTCCTATAAGCCCGGTCCTAATATGCACACATGTATACCTAGACATACACAAAATAATGGATTATCATACCTTAACTTACCCAATGTTCAGTGAGAGCAGAAGCAATGGGATGCCCCAGGCAATACAGCTGTTTTTCCTTGTCATTGATGCCACTTGGCTAAATGTTGAAAGCTCTCAACACGGAATCCCAAACACAGAGCTGCACAGCCTCTAACAAAGGGTGATTGTATTGACAAGCAAAATCTCAGCAGAGTCTATGGCTGCCCCTACACCAAAACAGCAGCCTAGTTGGGGAGTGCCCAGGAGACATGCCTGAGGAAAGCCAAGAGGAGATGCCTCTGAATTAGATACCCCTCAGTGTACCCTGTGATGAGCACCAGCGGTTGCCTGGCTGTGGACTTAACAAATCAGATCTAAGCAGCATGAGATGCCTTCTGGCACCCCAATGAGGTATCCTGTGATCTGTTTTGTTAATGAGTACACAGACAGAAGAGAGTAGGGACAATTGGCATAGATGTGCTTGATGGCTGCCCACACATTCTCACTTATGTTAGTGTTAGATTCCAGGAGTAATGCCTGTCTCCCCAGTCCTTGACATCTTATTCTGAACAGCTTCATGGAAGGCCAACGACTAAATAAAAGCTCTAGGAGTCCTGCCAGTGCATTGCAGAGGCCCACTTGGCCAGGATTCCAGGCTTATAGTTTCATTTCCCCTCCCCTCCACCTCATCCCACCATCTGCTTGCCTTCTTAACTTGTATATATATTTCACTGCTATTAAGACTGCTGTGTACTTCGTGCCACCATGAAATAAAACAGAGGACCCAACTCTTGCTAACCAGGGTTCCCAGCAAGAGGATGGTCATGAAGATCTACACTATATGAACATCTGTTGATTCATTTTAGACATTTCTATTTTAAGCCTATCAGATTTCTTTGGATTTTTTGACAGAAGATTGAATATTCTGTTTGGAATTTGAGGGACTTGTTTGTTTGGATGCCCATAAGAGACTGAAGGAGTTGCCAAATCCACAATGTGCCAAGTCATTTGGGTTCATCTGCCCATTGGTTCACTCAGCTGCTGTTTACTAGTTATTTACTTTATTTGCCGCGGGTCAAACACTTAGTGAATTGCTTCCTGAACAGCTTGAGATCACTATGGCTTCTAAACATCAGCCAGGCTCCTTGATAGGAAACTGGGCACGTAAGACTGGCTAGGCCTCTTCTTCTACCTGACCATTTCTGCCCAACCTGTAGTATTTAGTCCCAAGTGAATTTGGCAACAGGTCTTATGCCCTTGTTTGAACCATGAGCATTTCAGAAAAGTCAAAGATGTGTGTGAGTCCTCTTATTCCAGGTAGTCAGGGCCTTTTCTGAAGATGATGCAGTGTTCTACTGTCTGGTTGAATGAAGACAATAGACTGAGAGACAGCCGGATGGTCATTGCTTCTCAACCTTGATCCAGCCTTGACCCACTAGACAGGCAATACAAGGCAGGTCCTACCTGCTTCCTGAGGGGTAGCTATTGTTATTGGAAGACAGTGAATTTCCAGGGCTCTTCCAGATCTATATTAGGAATGTCACAGTCCTTTGAGGCCCTGCATTTAGCATACAGTCTGCCTATTCCAGTCAAGAGAGCAGTATCAGGACCTAAGACCTCTTTCTCATTATTTCTCACATGATAAAATGGGCTCAGGGAGTCTACATGACAAGGCTAAGACCTCCCTGTATCTACCTGATGACTAGGGACATATGCCATGCTGCTTCTGTCCACTCCCTGGGCCCCATCCTCTATTAAACTAAGACAGTTACTTCTTAAGCGAGATCTGTCAATCCGGACAGTTCTAAGTGATTCTGATGTACAAGAAGGCCTTAGCCACACAGCTGGGGCGGGGGGTGTTACTTTGATGTTCACTTGGCCATGAGAGCCATGACCTTAGTCTACTAGCAGATGAGGGGTGGCCAGAATCAGCATCTTAGCCTTATTCTCACATAGGTGCCTCCACTTCCTTTCCCTTTCCCTACTGGCAGACAACTCATGGTTATTAATGTGACTGAATCATGGGGTAGAATCGGAAACAGGGAAACAAAGTGTTGCTTTGCTCCTGAAGACTGTTTTTATATAAAATGGGCAGCTCTCACAAGGTGCCGAGCCCACAGTAGGGCCTCTTCCTGTTGTTTGATATCTCCCCAATGCAAGGATGCATCTGCACAGAAGAATTCCTTATTTAAATAACTTTATACTTGAGGTTTTCTTTTATTGCAAGTTTTTCTCATTAAAAACAAACAATACAGAAATTTAGAGAATAGAAAGCAAATTGCCAGTCATTCCTTAGGTGACCACTCTAAAAGACTGAGTATTGGTTCATCCAAATTATTTTTGTATGTGCATAAGCAGTGCAAATGTGTGCGTGTGGAAAGAGTATGTGGGTGTGAACTAAATAGAATAATGACCACAGTGGCTGTTCTAAATCATGCACTTTCCCCTAAACATATACCTCAGGCAGTTCCTTTGCATTTCTCTGACACTGGTACGTTCTATTTTATCAACACACCCTGATTCATTTAAGCCAGAGAGTGAGGCAACCTAGAACTTTGTTGTCTATTCTATGGTTTGTCTTTTTCAAAACTGGTTTACCTGTAGATTGGTAGGAATTGAAATTGTTCAGCTAGTTCTAGTTTGCTCTTGAGTGCCTGCCTTTGGCAGCAAGTTTCTTTAGTGACTTCAGCATAGTCCCTGAATTCCCCTTGTAAGTGCACAAAGAATACCCTTTGTGTGACTTTTAGTCATGCTAAGTATACAGACAGCATATTGCTTTATTTGAAATGTAACAAGACTGTTTAAATGAGACACACCAACAAAGAAACAAAAAACATGCTTCTAAAAATAGACTGTAATTTTATGATTTTTGACAAGCGTAACTTTAAACTGAGAGATCTGTTTTATCTGTGGCTTCTTAGCATTAACTTTAATATATCAAAGCTTTTGTTAAATTCATATTCTCTCTCTCTCTCTCTCTCTCTCTCTCTCTCTCTCTCTCTCTCTCTCTCTTCCTCTCCTTTCCTCTCCTCTCCTGTAAACACAGGGAACCAATAAAAGAAGACAGGAAGGAGACAACTTCCACTTTACTGGCATGGCTGACGGGGGCTACCCTAATAAAATCAAGAGACCTTGCCTTGAAGATGTCACCCTCTCTATGGGCCCAGGTGCCCACCCTACTCTTTCTACAGAACTGCAGATGCCCACATTAACCATGAATCCTAGCTCTGCAGATCTGGGTGTAGCTGGCCAGTCATTACTTCTTGAGAATAATCCTCTGGACAACAATGCTGTGAATAGCAGTGCTATGGGCTCACCGTTTGGGGTGCCGTCGACTGCAGACACAGGGCTGAAAGGGCATGCTATTCCTTATTATGAGAAAAACAACAATATGCCAGCTGTGGACCAGGAGCTTCAAGATCTGCTGGAGGAACTAACCAAAATTCAAGAGCCTTCTTCAAATGATCTTGACCTTGAGAAGATTCTGGGGAACAAGCCAGAAGAGCCTGTGGTTGAACATCACTCCCAGGCTCCCCTTGGCCCACCTGCCAAGCTTCCAATTCAGATGCCACTTATGGAGAGCCTTGGGCCCAGCAAGGAGTATGCGTCTAGCTGCAGTCAGGCCACTGACACATCACTCCCAGTCTTGCCCTCCTCCACAGAGATCAACTATCCCATTCCTCCCACCAGTAAGCAGATAACCTCACCCAGTTCTTCAACAGCACAGGCTCAGGTTAAAAACCAGGCGCAGACCATGCTCCCTGTCACTTTGCCTCCGTTATCTGTGCCTCAGTGGCATCATGCCAACCAGCTGAAAGCACTTGCGGCCAGCAAGCAGGGATCTGCTACAAAACACCATGGTTCCAACCGTAGTTGGTCCAATCTGCCTACTCCAGGCCTCTCCCCACCTTACCTACGCGTGCCATCACCTCATCCACCACCAACACAGCCGCCACCACCACCACCATTCAGCCCACAGAATTTCACAGCACCCTGCATGTCATCTAATAGCTTGTCTGGAAGTGCTGCGCAAAGCTCGTCCAATGCCTTACTCTCCAGCATGGCCCCCAGCAGCAATGCTGCCCTTGGGCCCACCTTGTCCTATGCTCCAGCGAAGCTCCCAGCTCTGCCTCACAATCAGAAGCCACAATTCAGCCCCCAGAGCTCCATTCTTGCCAATCTGGTGTCCTCTTCTGTCAAAAGCCCCCAGGGACACCTATTATCTGCTGTGCCTACCAGCACCCCAGGACCATCCCCACCCTACCGCCCCGAGAATCTCTCCAGCCCTGGCTTGCCACAGCAGTCCTTCACTCCACAATACTCTCTGATCAAGAGCCTTACTCCTACCAGCAGTCTGCTTAGCCAGCAGCAACAGCAGCAGCAGCAGCAACAACATCAACTGCAGCATCAGCAGCAGCAGCAACAGCAAGCAAATTCCATCTTTAAGCCTATGACCAGCAGCCAGCAAAGCAAAACCCTGAGCATGATCATGCAGCAGGGCCTGGCAAGTTCCAGTCCAGAAGGACCTGAGCCCTTTATCTTCAGCAACACCAAACCCTTGTCGCATTTTGTTTCTGAGCCAAGCCTGCAGAAGATGGCCTCCATGCCTGCCTCCTCCAGGCAGTCATCCCTGTTCTATTACCTGCCTCAGGCAACACCAGCACATGTTCCTTCTGCCACTGCCTCCTCTACTGCCACTGCCACCTTGCAACTCCAGCAGCTGCAGCAGCAGCACCATCAGCAGCAGCACCATCAGCAGCAGCTGCATCAGCAGCAGCTGCATCAGCAGCAGCTGCATCAGCAGCAGCTGCATCAGCAGCAGCTGCATCAGCAGCAGCTGCATCAGCAGCAGCTGCATCAGCAGCAGCTGCATCAGCAGCAGCTACATCAGCAGCAGCAACAACACCACCACCACCAAAAACAACAACAACCTGACCAGTCTTCATTCCTCCTGCAGCAGACAATGCAGCAACCCCAGCGCTTTCAGCGCATGGTGGCCTCTGATTCCATGCCCGCTCTGCCTGGACAGGTAAGACCACCTCCTATCTGGTGGTGCTCCTTTGGGAAATAAGAACTATTTGATATGCTATGCAGACCTGGCTTTGGGAGGCAAATTCAGGCTATTATCCTCACGGAGGCCAAACTTGACCCTGGAAAAGCCTATGTAAGTCAGATAATTGTGTGTAGTTAAGTACAGTATTCATGAGGCCAAAATTATGGCTCTGGAGTCTAGTCAGCTTTCCTGGGAGGAAAGCTGCACCCATAATCTGTGCCAGGGGAAGGAGTCAGACAGGACAAGTCAGACATCTATAGATGAACAGTTTCCCTTGGACTGAGCCGCATGCCTGGACGCACAAATGCTTTGAAGGATGTAAGGATATGACACTGAAGCATTTGGTGCTTGTCTGTCCTGCTATTAAACTGAACACTGAGCCTTCTAGAAATGCCCCAGAATCCTTCTACTGCACAAGCTCAGTGTGTCTTTCATCACTGTGCTGGACACTGAGGCCAGTCCTGGAAGGAAAAGGCATCCACCTCTAAAGCAGTAACTGTTGTCACCTCCATTCTGCAAAGGAAGAAACTGAGGCTCAGAAAGTTGCGATGACTTGCCCAGAGTCACACAGTTTGCAAGGGCCAGAGCAGGTGCTTAAAGCCAGAAAATCTTGCTCCAAAATCTCTATTCTTGAGATTACTTTTTCCACATCCCCTCTTCACCTATAGCCTTTTGAATCATTCACTGTAGGTCTATCATTGTTACCAGTTGTTTTTGCTCTGATCCTTGCCTGTATTAATTATCTATCACTGTGTAAACACTTACCCAAAGTGTTAACTCCAAACCGGATGTATATATTGGCTCACAAGCTCTGCAGGTCAGTAATCGTGGCTTAGCTGGTTCTTCTGGCCCAGAATATATCAGAAAGTCACTGTTATCTCCAAGTCCCATGGGGAAGGAGGTTCTGCCTTGCTCACTCATAGCATTGTTGATAGGAAGCAGCTCTTTGCAGGGGCTTCAGGAAGTGTTTGTTGGCCAGAATCTTCTTAAGCAAGCATTATACAATATGGCAGTTGGCTTCATCCAAGTGGATGAAAAAGGCATGCCTTCTAAATGCATGGATGGAGCTAGGGATAGGGAGGATTGTCAGAAAGTCTTTAAGATAGTCTATGGTATCATCATCAAATGTTGGCCACAGGGAATTGCATGAAGGTGTGCCTACCAGGAGGCAGGGATCAAAGTCCTCCTCTAGAATACTGTCAATCATGATGCATCTTTCCATTCATTGGTTATTCATATGAGCTGATACAGTTGACCATTAACCAGCACCCCCAATAAATCATCATCATTTACCCTAAGAGGGACCTTGATAGAATGATGTCCTGATGTTTACCACTTGTTCAGAAGTTCCCAGAGGGTCATAACATGATTCCACATACTTCTTCAGACACAGAGCCTCTGGGGCTCTGCCTTTCACTTCACTCTATAACCTTAAAGTGCCCAGAGTTCTTGGGCCTTGTCCCTGCTGGTTCCTGTGCCTGGCTTTCTCTTCCATTTCTCTCCTGTCTAACTTCTGCAGCTTCTTCAAGCTCAGACTCCATTCCTTCTGGAAGCACTGATGGTCCCAAATGCTTCCGCCTTCTGCTGGGCCTCTCTGTTCTGGAGAGAAGTCAAAGAGACTATGTTTATGAGTGCCTGGGGAGAGAAATGAATGTCAGAAAGTGACCTCTTCAAGGGTACACATGACCGCTTCCTACAAAGAATATCCAAATATCATGGAGTCCAACCAAGCACGGTGCTTGATACCATGGAATTGGCTGTCTGGTGGGTGCATGAAGCAGAAAGAATTCCCAAAAGGGTGGCTGGTGGCTAGGATGAATGGCAAGAAGACAGAACTAGCAAGCAGAACAGGGAACCCAGCTGGGGGCCTAAGCCCTTGTCCGTGGCTCAGGAGTACTGTGGTTTGATGTCGTTATAGGGCTGTTGCCATCGCTGTGCATGGACTACTGCGGCTCTCTGGTTGGAGCACCAGCATCAGCAGTGGAACGCTCTCAATAGCACGCATGGACATGCGCCACCATCTAACCTTGTGAGCCACTTTGTTTTATTCTTATCTGCAATGGGGTGTGTTTGGAGTCTTACTGTGTTGCCGCGGAGCCAGCTCAGATGGCTTGGGGGAAAATGCTTAATGACTAAAGTCATGGCAATTATGCCTAGCTGGTCACCAAGGCAGGATTGGAGAAGGTGTTTAGGAGAAAAACCAAGCAACCATGACCTCCAAGGATTAGAAGTATAGAAAAGGCTCCAGAGACCCCTTACAGAGAGGATCCCAGCAGCATTCCACTATGAGCTATCTTCCCAGCCAGACATAGACCCATAGGCCAGGCATGGAGGTCTTCTCTCACCTGCCTCTTCTCTTAATCCTCAGAGGCAGAGGGTTTTATCATTCCAGTCTGTGTTGAGAAGGAAAGCACAGAGAAGTCACCAGAGAGGCCCACAATCACACAGCGAATCAGATAGCCAAGCATCTGGTTCCAGAACCCGTGCTCATCCTCCTGTGAATGAAGCACTGCCTCCAGAATGTTCTGTTCTTACCTTCCCTTCTTATCCATTTCCTCATCCACAAAATGAGAAAATAGTAGTTGACTGAGGACAAAATGACATAAAACATCCAAAGCTCTTTGAATAAAGCACAAAAAGGACTTTCCATCACTGCCTAAGGCCCGAGTCCTTAAATCTGTCTTCTGGGGCTTGAAGACATGATCTACAAATCAAGACCTAGGTCAGGACAGAATGTGAGCAGCTCTTCTCCAACCCTGTCTCTATAGTGATGTTGCTAGGAATTGTGGGTTTTGTGCACCTTGGATAGTTTTCTCATTCTAGGCTCAATGGACACGGCAAAGGGTCATATTCACCTTGTAAGCACCCCATTCCAAAGTTCTCAGCACTATTATGCCACTGCTCCAGTCCTCCCCAGTCCTCTGGTCACATAGCATTCTTCCAGCCAGAATACATTAAGAGCTCCCTCTTTTACGGACACTCTCCCACAACTGTAAGGCCATAAAACAATCTGGTCACTCTTCCCAGGGAAACAAAAAAAGAAGAGGTTAGTGTTTGAAGAAAAATTTGGTATCCTTACATAAGAACAAATGGAAACCCCAAAGATGGGAAGTGCATGATTCTCACCTTTAGCAGCAGCCAGGCTGTCTGTAGAAGCAATGGTCTCCTGATAATATGACATTCATTAGCTTGGTGGTCTGGTCCTTCCCCTCTGTGGTCATGGTTACTGAGGGAAGACTGGAGATGTATGTGAATGTGGGGCTCAGTTTTTGAAATGAATATATTATTTTAATGTAAGATGAGAAACAAACAGTTAAGAAAGCAGTAATGCCCACTCTAGCTGTTTATCGGGCTCATACTTCTGTGTTTCTCAGCTTGAGAGATTTCACATTACCACTGGAATGAATGGTTCTCTTTACATGGAGCACCCCTTCCACCTAAGCTACGAGGCAAATGCCAGCTGTCCTCATGGAATCAGTTCAATGTGGCAAGTCAAGCAACAGACCTGATGTACACAGAGCTCATGTCCATTCAAAGCAGTTGGTGACATCTAGGGAGCCACAACCAAACGCAAATTTCCCTAAACACTCAGAGTCTCGACCAACAATACGGAAAGAATCAGCCCCTCTCCCATAGAGAACTGAAGAAGGAAAGAGAGATACACTCACTGCTCAGGGCCCGAGAATACTCAGATGGGATCCAGTATGGGTGTGGCCTGAGATCTAAACCCCTGTGGGCAAGGGAGACTCCAATGGTCAACACTTGGGACTTGAGAAACTCAATATGGCAGAAATAGCAAAGATGCTACAACTCCCTCCAGTGGAGAAATATGAAAATTTAACAATGTCTAGGTCAAATTTGACCACCAAATAAAAACTGGTCCCAAACTCACAATATAAAGTTGTCCTTTAGAGCTGCTTTGATTTCAGATTACAGTAAAAGACAGGAAAATTCAATTATTAGGGAGGGATTCCCCTGATTTGTTCCTTCTTGTTCTTCCTACAATAATTCTATATAATAATAGATGACATTATGACATGTTCATATACATATTTTGATCAAATTCCCCTTCATGATCTTTACCTAGCCCACCTCTAATACCACTGATCCCTTCCTGTTCCCTAATAATCCTTATGCTTTCGTGACTTTTTTTTAAGATTCTACATAAGAGAAAAGACTTTGTAATGTTTGTATTTCTGAGTCTTTAATATACCACTTAACATAAGCAGTTATATCTGTTTCTGTCAAATGGAGTGATTTCATTCTTCATCAAAACTGAATAATATTCCACTGTGCAATATGACCCCTTTTGTCTATCCATTCATATATTATTGGGCACCTAAGCTAATTCTATATTTTAGTTATTGTGAATAGTGTCATGATAAATATGGATATAAGTATTTCTGTTGTATATTGACTTTAATACTGCAGGGTATAAACCCAGAAATGATATGGCAAAATCATATACAGGTTCTAGTTTTTACTAACTTTTCTGAAGTGCTGGGCATAGAACTCAGGGACTCACACATGTTAAGCAAGTGCTTCACCAGCCTGGAAGATCTACTTTTATTTTATTTTAATTAATTAATTTATTTATTTATTTATTTGGTTTTTCAAGACAAGGTTTTGCTGTAGTTTTAGAGCGTGGCCTGGAACTAGCTCTTGTAGACCAGGCTGGTCAACTTTTATTTTATTGAGGAACCATCATAATGATTTCCATAGTGGCTACAGTAATTTGTAATCCTACCAATAGAGTATAAAGGTATATCCATTCTCTCATCTTTACTAGCTTTTATTGGGTTTTTTGTTTGTTTGTTTCATTGATGACTGCTATTGTAACTGAGGATAAGATAGAATCTCAACTTAGTGTTGATTTGCATTTTCCTGATGGCTAAAAAGACTGATCATCTTTTCATGTATTTATTGACTATTTGTATTTCATTGAAAATTGTTCAGTCAATTTGCCTATTAGTGAT